TAATTGAATCTGTCCTAAGTATTTTTTGTTACTTTATACCAAGGTTGTCAGATTGAGGTTTCCTTCATACAATTAAGTTTTTTTTTACTCTTTGGTTTTTTTTTAAAGGTGTATAAGTTGTGAATATTTATGAAGAATCTGAAATCAACAGGTTTGATTCCGGTCTATCGGAGTTAACTTTTATTCTTTGGTGGACCCATTTAATAAATCTCTACTTTCACACGCTGGCTTGAATTAATTGGTATTAGTACAAACTGTTGGTACAGTGGGGATTTCTACACTAGTATTATACAAACCAACATAGTATTATACAAACCAAAATATCTATAAATCTCGTATATACACATTTCATTTTTTTTTTCTCCATAGTTCTACGAAATGTTTATTTTTGCTTTATATATATATATATAATATATATATATATATATATATATATAGAGAGAGAGAGAGAGAGAGAGAGAGAGGGGGGGGGAGAGAGAGAGAGATGTGTAATTTATGCAGGAAAACAGTCTAAATATTTTGTAGAGATGCCCTAAACTTTGTACCGTTATAATCAGCAGGTATGTCCTCGTCCCACTAACTCTCTCATATAAACTTTCGAAAAACATTTCTTCTTTAATAAACATTTAATTTTTAAATCAGTTAATTTTAAAAAGTTTTGAATACTTTAATTGTTATCATTGCTTTTATGATCCATGTTAATGTTCGCTACAATTTAAAGTTCATCATACTTTAGACCTGATTATGTTCAAATTGTTTGTTTTCTTTCTAAGTTTTAAATTATTTTTGCATAAAAAGTAATATAGTTTATTCTAAAATTAGATTTTGTCAACGTTACCACCCCCCTTTTACTAACCATTAATGATTAATTATATCACTGAACGTTGAAAAGTGTTATTTTATTAATTATTTATTGGATTAATTCTAAAGCTGCGTTTATGCATTACCCAAACCCTGACAGCAAACACAAGCGTGTAAAAACGGTTTGAGAACGATCTGAGTCATAAATAAAAATAACACTTTTCAGCGTTTCGTGATATAATTAATCATTAATGGTTAATAAAGGGAGGTGGTAAAATTGTCAAAATCCAATTTTAGAATAAACTATATTACTGATTCCGCAAAAATAATTTAAAACTTAGACAAATTAAAGATCGTTTGCGGAAACGCTACTGTTGCTTGAGATTTCAACATATATTGCTTTAACGTTTCTGCTCTAGTTTTGTTTTATTGTTTTGGATTTTTCAAATTAAATTCTGTAAACACAACGATGTTAACATGTCTTGAACCATCCCTCATGTTTTGTTGTTGTTTTTTTAAGAAGAATTTGTACTTGTTTGTGTTTTCAGCGTTTAGAAATGTATACAGCCGCCTAAAGATTACTGACTATTATAGTGTCCTAAGGGAATATGGCACTTTCTGAAGGCTACGTTTAGTAGACCTGACCATTATTGTATGCAAAATACTTTTCTCGTTTCGTATTTTGTATGAATTCGTCAGGATTGGTTATTATGTGAGTCGTTAAAAAATTGAATTCTGAAAGTATCATATCATTAATTTCATTTATATCTCATTCTTTTTCTCATCAATGGAGAGTCAACTTTTGACTTTCCTTGTAAAAATTAACTATCATTTAACTCTTTTTATAGTTTAATTTATAGTTACTGATTTATATATAACGTGATCTCAGTAAAAACGGTTCGTATCATGTCAATGCGGTCGATACCAAAACGGTGACTTGAAGGGGATAAGTTAAAAAAAGAAATTTTGATAAAATAACGGTTGAGAAAATCCGATGATGCTATGGAAGAGATTGTGTCGTTGAGGAAAGTGAAAGGTGACAAAATAGGTTCCTGCATCTTTATTTATCAGTGCTGTTACTCTGACATAATATCAGTCCCTAAAATTAAATCAGATGCTTAAAATAATTCAATATTTTGAGAGTTGTTATTTAAATCTTCAAGACTCTATAAAAAAAAAAAAAAAAATACATTTCTTTGATTCATAAAATGTCATCATCGTAACCAAAATCCGGTCATTACCGTCCTTAACCCAAATGACCTTTTTTAAATATCATTATTCTCGAGTTATTATCTGTTGTCTAAATTCGTTTGTTTAACACATTACACTGCAATGATGTCTCGGTATTTAATAAAAATGAAAAAGGAAAAATAGAATGTATAATGAATATTTTCAAAAAGTTTCAAACGGGTGAGTGATTTTTAACTTCCTCTAATGTATTTAATCTCCAGAAGACTACTCTGAACGAAATTTAAAAAATCTGGTGCGTGCAAAACACAACTATCTCTTACCGCTCAACTTTAAATAGAAATTATTTTCTGGCCATGTTGGGCTATTATAAAATTTTTGAATTGTATTTTTAACCGAAGCTAAAGCTAAAATATTACAGCTAACAAATATAAAATACCATAACAATATAAATTATAAATATAAATTTAAAATAACAAAAGTCCTATTTATTATATCACCGGTTGATTATGGATTGTAAGATCGTTGATTATGGATTGTACGACTATTAGTTATTAATATTTTAATTAAATAAATATTTTACATCACAAAGTTTCCTAAACCGGAATTAAGAGATTTCCATTGTATCACAGACAGGTCAAAAGCTGTCACACAGACCATTTTTCGGGACTTGGATATTTGGACTTACCTCAATATATATATATTAGGATACCTCAAATTTCCGTTGAAAACTCAGATTCAAAAATTTTCACGATCGCAACACTTAAGCTTACTATATATTACATATATATATAAGTGAAATTGTGATTGATTAAATATTTGGCTCAGGTAACTCGTAAAAACAAATAGGAGTAAATGAATGAAAAAAAATACAATTTTTTGGGAGGACCCCGTATGGTAGCAATGCCAGGTAAGGCGAAAAAAAAAGAAGAAAAAAAATGGAACAAGGAGAAAATTAAAAAACGGAACGCAGCAAGTGTAATAGTGTATGATCTAAGATTTTTCTAATTCTGCTTTTCCTTGCACATGCCCTGAAGACTCTCAAACTTGGATTGAAAATATCTTGCCCTCTTCTATTATTATAAACGTACTGTTGGAGGAATTAATTAAATCCTACTTGTCTCATCTATCGTAATATTTACAAGGAAAATTAGGATTTAAGGAAATCCCTTTTTGAGTATCTTTGTCAACGATAAAGCAATGTTATTAATGCCATACTCATGACAATAGTAACCCAAAACATAAATAAAATATCAAACTTTTTTTTTTTATTTGTGCTTCTACATCCATATTTGAAATGTTTCTAGTTTGCATTATATCTAGATTTTTTCAAATTTTCCTGTGTAGTTATACAATAGAATAAAATTTTCTCTTTAAAAACTTAAAAGCCTCCTTCCCAAAACAAAATGGTAAAATATATCGATGTATTACGAAAAAATATATTTCTAAAAAGTATTATTGTTAATCAATTACATTTAATAGGACTTCAAGAAACATTTGAACACCATTTCTTATAAGTAGATAGTTTCTTTGTTTTTCTTTTAAAGTAATTATCGTTAATATATAGAAAAAAAAGCTTTCGGGCGGAAGCCTCCCAAAAACTAATTTCTGGATTCGCTAGTGTTAAATGCCAATATGTTGGTAGGAAAACATCCTAAAACCATTTATTTAAAATTGTGGTATGAATTTAATGAAAGGAAATTGGGAAAATGCCGAAGACTTTAGCAGCTCAAAAATGATCAAATCTTAAAAAATCTTACACAACAGAGGCAGTTAGGGAATCCCTACTCGTTTTGCGCATGCGCCTCTCCTCCCTCTCACTGCCTTTCTATTCTAACCTCCTCAGGCCTGTGATAAGGTACTATTTCGCTGGCGCGGTCCACGACCGCGACTGCTCGCGGTTGACCACTGCTTTAGTGGAATAGAAAGGAACCTATTTCGCTGGCGCTGCTCGGCAGTCTAGGTATGACGTCATATCTAAGCTGCTCGTATCGGACTCCTCTTGAAGCAGTGGAGCTGTTGGCGGTTCGGCGGTTGTAGGTTATATTATCATATCAGAGCATTGTTTTGATGATAACAGTCACTTCGATACATTTTATTTCCTATGTTTCTGTCAAGTCTGGCAAAATTATAACAAATATTGTTTAAAACTGAAACAATGCAATAGTAAATTATTTTTTTAAGGTTGAAGTAACAAGATTATTCATTTATTTATTCCACCAGAAATATTTTACAGCGAAATACAAACTATATTACATAAATTAAAGAATCCAACAAATTTTATCGTCAGATAAATACTAAAATCCACCCATTGAAAAAACGATTTGTATTTTTTAATTAAAGTGGTGATTTACTGATTACTATTGATAAAATTATAAAACATCGCTTGCTGAGATTTAATTGCAAATATATGATATTTATTACTAACCAATTATGTATTAATTACTATTATTTTTCAAACTAATAATATGTAATATCAGAGGAACTTTGATGATGAGCATCACATCGAAATACTGATATTCCTTCTCTTTATGAACAACATTTTCTCTTCTTTTTCCAACTCAAATAAAAAAGCGGTAGTCAGAGATGTTCATTATTATAGGAAGTTCATTTTTATTCTTATATTATGTCCATCTTTTTATCTTCGAAGATACAGCGAAATGTTCGAAGGTTATAGGCAGGTTATAACAACCCCAGTGAGCAGTTTCAGCGAAATAGCTACGCCAACAGCGGTTGGCAGGGGGGAATAGCGGTCGCTGTCGTCGACCGCGCCAGCCAAATAGTACCTATAGATTGTTTCCACAGTGCTCGAGGGATCCGTGTAGTAACATGCTCTTCGCGTTTTACGTCTGTTTTCTTTCCGAAATAGTTTTATTCTAACGGTTAGTGTTATCTTGTTTTTACTAGTTTATGTGCGAAGTGCCTTACACTTTGGAAGACGAAGTATTGATTCAAATTGTATAGTCCATATTATTTGAACGTTATCTGGTTTCAAGGTTTACCTTTTCAGTATGTGGGGACAAAAACAGGGTTCTAACCAAAGTAGCAACGTTTCAGATCAAGCGAAACAAGCACGAGATGGAAGGAGTTCAGCAGAACTCAGCACACATTCTAAAAAAGATGGGACTGATAGTTCATTGTATGATTCTGGTCGAACAGATTCCGGATTCTTATCTGGGGCCAACCTTCACTCCGAGACGATTGTTTCTGAAGAAATTAGATCTCCATCGCCGAAGACTTCAAAACCAGATGTGGACAAACTCCATTCAAAAAGTTATTCAAGGCTCGATAGTGGTGTTGATGTATTGTCAGATGATATTAGTGAACTGTGTATAGATGATGCTAGTTATGATTATGATGATAAAACAAATATAATGGTTAGTAAATCTAATATTGGACCTGAACCAGAGCCTAAAAGAGTTCCAGATTCACCAAGCCTAAAGCAACCTGTTGCTCATGAAACCACCAGAACCTATTGGGAATATTATTTTGAACAGGATGATGAAGGTGACACGTAAGTGTTAAATTCTTTATTTTATCATGCATTAAATTGGTCATTGCTAATATCTAATGTGGAATGGTATTTGCTTAATTTGTTCAGAGACCAGTCTAATTTTGCTGAGTTAATGAATCGTTAACTCAACCTTGTTTTCTGTTTGTCGTTATTTCCTGAGTTAATAAGCATTTTAAATTAGAAATGACCATTTGTAGCATTTTATTATTCATCCATTCTAAACATTGACTGACCCATTATTTTTATATTTTTAGGTACCTTCATATAGCTATAATTCAAGGATTTGTTGATGTTGTGTTTAATTTAATAAAGCTTGTACCTAGAGCTTCATTTTTAGATATTAGGAACGATATGAGACAGGTAATATTTGAAGTAATAAAATATATTTGATTTTATTTTGACGGTGTTCACATTTCAAACATGTTATTTTAATGTTCAATCTAGACCCCTCTGCACCTTGCCGTAATAACAGGGCAATCTTCAATAGTCAGGCGGTTAGTTTGTGCTGGAGCAGACACAAGAACAGTTGACCACGACGGTAACACACCTTTACACATTGCTGTAGCAGCCGGTGACCTAACTTGCGTTAAGGCTCTCACCGATCCTGTGGTTATTCCAGAAGTATTAGCTGCCCAACTTCAATATTCTGCGCCACCAATTCGACCACCATTACCTGATCTCTACAATTATGAAGGTACCTTATTTTTATAATTAAAATTGCTATAATTGGTTAATGTTAAAGTTTTGGGAAGAGAAGTTTATCACAGTTCTAAATTAGTTATTCTTTAAATTTGTCGCAATGTCATTCCGAATTATATTTAATATACGTAAAGTTCTCTTTTGTAATTGTGTATTTACAATTGCTTTTATTTAAATCTTTTTCTCACTTTATTTTTGTGATAAAATTTAATGAAGATTGTAAATTATTGTTTATAAAGAATAGTTATTCTTTCTGTAGCAGAATCGTTTTATCTTTTTAATTTATTTATGTTACATACTTATATATAATTGAAATTTTGTTATTTATATTATTATGGCTATATGTTTTTTTAGGGTGTTATTGTTGTAAACAGTTTATCCTTAACTTTTATCATAATGTATAATTCTTCGTTTGTTGCTAGTATAGCTTCTATTATTTGAATTAATATTGCCGCTCACTTCTAATATATCTGCTGCCTTTACTAGATATTGCCTAGTAAATTACCTGCTGCCTAATAAATATTGTAATATATTTGTAATATCACTTGTTTTCTAAACTACCAATCATAACAACAATAATTTTACCCCCCAAAACATGAATTCCATCTATTTCTAAACCTGTGGAATTACGCCCTTTTATACATTATGTCCAATATACTTTTACATACTCTTGATTGTATGAAACTTTATTTTAAATGCAAATATATAATCCAAAATACATGAGCACTACCTCTATTTAGATTTCTTAATTTAATATTTTGATTGAGTACTTTTACTGAAGTGATAAAAAAAAAAATCCAAGCTTACTGTCTGGCCCGCATTTAAAAAAAAATATAGTTACTAGTTAAATATTTTTACAGCCTCATAGAAATCTTCTAAAATTTAATAATCTATTTAATAAATCATTTATATGAGGGTTGATATCCTCTAACTTGACGAGTAAGGTACTTTGTTGCTATGCTCCACGTCCGAGGTTCAAGTCTGGCTATGACTGGTAATTATTTATTCTGTTACATCAACCACGAATCAACTGTGTGATATTAATAAAGTAATTAATTAAGATGAACTTGGTTGTTTGCCATGATCTCGATCAAACTGCCTCCTTACACAACTATTGATCAAGAAACAGTAATGGTTCCTTACAATATGATAAAAAGGAAAAATAGGGCAGATTTAATTATTTTAGTGTATCTTATAATGTTAATCACCAGACCTCAGGCCTTTACTTGACAAGGACAGACACTAAGTATCTTCATTACATTAGCAGCATCACTTATTTCTTTTAACCTGTCAAAGCTTAGGACAGGTTCCGTGGCCCGCCAAATAAGCAAAATAGTTGATTCTTTTTTTTAATTTTTAAACATTAAAAAAAAAAATTATTTTAATCTTTCATATTTACATGACATTTGTGTCACATCGCAATTTATGTTATATTTTATGCATTACAATATTTTCAGATTTATTATATATTAAAATCATCATTTACTTGTTTCACATGACAGGATATTCTATTTAATAAAGTATATGTAATAAAATTATCTTCAGACTATTTATAATGTTAACTTATTTCAAGATTATCTCTATTTACTTGAAAAATTGTCTCTCATTATCTCTCAATTATTAGTCTCAATGATTCAAATACTTTATTTTAAATTTATCAAATTTTCACCTCTTTAGGAACAACATGAGACTAAAAATTCCTTTTTTCTATTGATACTTTTTAAAGTTTCTTTCCCAATATCATCTATTATTAACATTATTATGCATAACTGCAACCAATTTCGCCATCTTACAAAAATGTATCTAAAATTCACTACATTATTGCATTACATTCTAGCTCATTCACTTTTTTGCTAAATTTGTATGTGTTTTATTCTGAGTTGCTTTATTTAATAGAAGACTGCAGCTTGTCTTCATAAAGATAAAAATTGGTGAATATTTATATTTGATTGGGGATGAGTTCAAAGACATCAATAAAAAGGTTTATTTTATTGAGTGTCAATGTTTTGATCTAGGTTTAAGGTCTTTATTAGGGCCAAGTAATAAGGAGGTAACAGCCAGTTTTCTGTGTAGCTATAAAGGTCTAATGCATCCTTTCCTATTTATGTATATATAAATCTGCAAAAGTAATCACATAATGCAATTATGAATTATATTTATCAATTTTTTGACCTAGGTTTAAGATCTTTATTAGGGCCAAGTAATAATGAGAGAACAATCAGTTTTTTGTGTAGCTATAAAGGTCTAGCTTATCGTTTCCTATTTATATATATTTTTTTTTAATCTGCAAAAGTTATCACATAATGCAATTATGAATTATGTTTATCAATTTTTATTTGGCTTGCATTTATTTTTTATTGTTACAACGTAGGATTGTTGGAAAAACCCAAGTATTCGTCATTCTCATTAGACACCATCTGACGCTATTCTAATGTATCACTCTAATATTTCCAGAACTGGAGAGTTATCAATTGAACGAAGCGGCCCCTCTCGTACGGTTATGTATCAAGAAAGCTGTTTTATGATTATTAGGTAGGGATTCCCCAAGGTGGGAGAAAGGGCCTGGGAAAACCCAAACTGATGGGCCAATACCCTGGAAACAACCCGTTTCAAACGGCTTCGTGCGGGCCAAACTTTCTTCTCTAGCTTCCCCCCCCTCCTCCTTCCTATTGTAGTTTTCATCTCGTACCGACAGCCGTTCCCTATTATTATTATCAAGTTTATGTATTATACTGGGTTTCATTTAAATACACTGTTTTTATTTTGTTTATTTAAAAAATTCAATTTCAAACAAATGCATTTGCATTATTGCCATCAATTCTTTCCATCTTACACACTAAATTTTTAAACAATATAATAACAATAACCGTTATTAATGTATTTATATTAATTTTTATAAATAAACAGCTTATTATTTAGCTTAGGTTTGTCTTAATTTACTTAAATTTATTAGAAGCACTAGACTCGAACTCTGCCTATTCTTAGCGGCTTCTTTCGTCTATTTTCGTCGAACCAGCCACTAATTTAATCTTGCTTACCTTCCGCCTTAGCCGCCTCTTGATATTTCTATCATAGACGTTTTGAAATAATACCAGAATACATTCATTATATGCGTTCTTTATTTTCGACCAATCACCATTTGTATCTAATATTCCTTTTCCTTATCAATCAATAATTACTTCTTGTGATGATGAACTCATTTATATTTACAAACCTGTCTACAGACAACATCCAGTTGTAAACAAAAATTAAATTAAGGCTTCTATACGTTTTAATACTACATTGATGAAGTTGGATGATGATATTAGCCCCAGGTATACAAGGATCTTACTTGATGAATGAGTGGTGCAGGAATGGATGGTGTGACCATGGTTGTGTTGGAATATTATTTGGAAATCCCCGGGGTCAAGACCTAGAACAATCTTGGGGAAAACCAAGAATTCCACCTTGGCGCTTATGATGATGGGTGAAGTTCAGAATCATCAAGCGTCAGTCCGCTTCCGACGGTTAAAACCGATCTTCTGTATGCCATTAAATATTAAATAGAAATGCGCCATTTATAATGGCATTAACGTCTATTTAAAGCCTTGCCTGTTTCAATCTGACTATACTATAATATCGATTTTAATGTTTTTGTTTTGTGTGAATAGCGCCTTGGTCCAACCTTTAGTTAATAATAGCTTCATGTCAATCGTGTAATAAAAGTACTGGGTATTCACATAATTTTCTACGAAATTTAGTATTTAGTTTGGTAGTAGGACTCCATTGAGCGAACTACAGAAATTTTGATATCATGCGTTTTATAAACTAAAATTAATGTGCCTATACAGTAGCATTACTGAATGGGACGAAGTATTCGCTGATTTCTCTGTAACTGAAATATAGGCATTAGTTATTGTGTAAAATATCTGTCTAGCATTATTTCACAGGGTCGTTCGCACGATATTCGTTCAATTATCGCGAGGTTTATTGGATCACTATAAAAATGATATGTTATCGTGCATTGCTGCTATACTAACAAATTTGTTATTAAAATAAACCATCAGTTTTCAACAAGAAGCAGGATCTACATTTATCTCCCAGAAATTCAATTTATTCGAACGTCTTCGACGTTTTAGATTACGGCTCTGTCGAAGATAAATCTACTATCTTATAGGACATCAAACTACATGAAAAAGAAATTTGAATATCGTTCTGTTATCTATCAATATCTAACCCGTCCTATTAATTTAGTATAACATTAAAGTTTTTAGTAAGAATGATGGAGTCGTTTATTTAAGTCAATTCAATTCGACTATTAAACCATTTTTTCTTTTCCAGTTAGTAAACGTTTCAAATGCTAAAATTGTTTCATACAAAGCAGTTCATCCATTAATAGTTTAGCTGAAATACTATATATTTTAGCAAAGTGTAGACTTTTTCTCTTCCATTTAACAAATCAGAGCTCTTATTATCCGTATTCAAAGTAGTTAGGGCTTTATTGTCTATGTTTACAGTTAAGTTTGAAAATTTAATGTGTAGGATTAAGATAATAGACTTGAGATTTCCAGTTAAGGCGGCAGCCGGTCTCTTGGACTGGTCCATTAAGTCTACTGATCCTGAAATAGACTCAATGCTTCTAATTTTAGGTCCCAGGATGCCTTACCATTGGGGCTTCCCATGGTTTAGGACTTATTATAGTCAATTCCTTTAGTGGGATTGACTGTTATAGCTCTCTTTGTTTTTTTTCCTAACACATTTTGTTTTTTAGCAGCCCATGCCTATAAAAGGCATTTATACTTTGTAAAACAATGATGAAGATCTTCATCAATCAACAAATCAGAAATGAATTTATTATATATTAGCGAACCTTTGAGCATTTTCTCCTAATCCCTTCCTATTGATTAATAGTACTTTAGTTCAAGTTTATCTGCAAATTTAATTATATATTTTGAATAAATTTGCCAAAGTGCCATTTATTATTTAATAATCGTTACTTCTTTATTTAAAATATTTTGATGAATGGACCACTTCCACTTCTTGTTTTTAGAGACAGTATAAGGCACAGAGATTAATATGATGATTGATTGGTTCAAAACAGTTTCTAATTATATTTTTTTGTTGCAGGATTAACTTGCGTACACATTGCCATCATGGGAGGACAAATCTCAATTCTAAGGCATCTTGTTCTTCGGTTTGGAGCCAACATTAATGCCAGGGTAAGGATTTCGATAATTCTCAGTTTCTTTGTACCTAGCTGCAAATCTAATATTTGCATCTAATATTTCTAATAACCCTAACTAAAAATATTTAGATTATCTAATTGTATAGATTAACTGTAGGTGTAAAATAATTTGATTTGCATATACAAAGTCATCACTTTTGAAAATTTTCAATATAGGAAGTATTGCTTTATTTTGAATAAAATTATTAATCATGCATTAGCAATTATCATGTACTTATTCATAAGAATCTAGTATTTATGCTATTATCAGTTCAGGTTTTTAACATTAATTAATTGATTTATTGAGCAAAGTTTTAGTGCAATGTTAAGTATTGATAGGAAATATAACTAGATTATTAATTTAAGTTAATGATTACTTATTTCAAATAATCTTATTGTGTATATAACAGTAGTTTACATGGAATCAGTTTTAGCTAGATGTAATAGTTGTCCTCATAACTTTGTTATTCATATTAATCATTATCGTAAATTAAAATTTTACCTTATTTATTTGAATAGTACTTTCTCACAAAGTAATGAATACAAGAGAGTCTAGCACTGCAATTTTTTTTTTTTTGTTATTAATTAAATTTCATTTTTTTCTCCCCAGGAATGTAAAGGAGGTATGACTTGTTTACACATGGCTTGCGAAGCAGGTAATGAACAGCTTACTCTAATGCTGCTCAAAGATATGAAAGCTAACCCAGCCATCCAAAATTATGCAGGAGCTACCCCTTACGGTGTGTCGCGTGGTCGTACAGGTATCATCATGGCACTTTTAGCTTATGGTGCTTCTCCAGAAATCGATGATGAATCAGAAGATGAAGACGATGATGAATCAGATGATTTCCAAGTAAGTAGCTGGGATTAAACTATTTATCATATATATATATAGTATATTATTTTAGAAAATTAGAATAAAACAAAAGGCAGAATAAAGTTAGAAATATCAACTGTAATTGCATTTAAACATATACTATGTGGTGTTATTATCTTTATTAGTTTAAATTAATTATATGAATGAATACTCTGAAATTATAAATCGAAACAGAATATTTATTTTATGGAGATATACGTACACCTAAAATAATAAAGAATATATGGTTAAAATGTATATATGAATAAATGTTTATATTTTTAAAATTAAATTCTATCTACTAAAGAGTATATTAAGTAATTTACACTAGTCAAGTTAATTAAGTATCTTTCTCTTGGTGCAATGCTGTCTAAACAGTCTGGCTAGTGGAGAATGCATTTCAAAAATTTTAAAGGTAATAATATATAATAGCTATGAAAATTTTCTTAGATTAAGTTTATTTTTTTAAATACGAAAGACTAATTATTAGTTATTAGCTCAATTTATATTTTGTTATTAGCTTAGGTAATCTTTTAGTCTTACCTTGTTAGTAATCTCTTACTTATGATATTAATATTGTTTCAGATGTACGGGTTTAAGGATCTTCATATCAATGGAGTTGTGAATGCTACTGCTTAGCACGACTAAGATATCATGAGTAGTTGTGTTTAAGATTATTATAATTACATTAGCACTCATTGTTCTTCTTCTACTGTTAAGAACAAATGTTAATGTGCTAAAATACAAGAATTATGTAAAAAAAGATACTATCGCTGTGCAATCTTGGATGAATGTTTATAGTAGAGAATGATTAAAGAATGAAGGTGACGCAAATGTTTGTGTAAATAAATATTTTATGTATTTAAGTAACTGAATGATGCCAAACTTAAACCACGATGTTCATAATTATTTGCCCGTGTTTATGTATATAATTGTAATTGTGGTCCTGCTGTAGGATTGTTAACTGTTGTGTTATTAATTTCTATTTCATTCCTATTTTTTTTCTTATGAATGAAAAAGTTGAAGATTAGAAAGACTCAACGTACTAGATTCTAGTCATTGAGGTTTAATTAAAGGGTTTCTTTTTTTTTTTTATCAATGTGATAAACAAAATGACAGTATAAGAAAACATGAGAATTGTAATTAAAAAACCCTTAAGATCCATTGTTTATATATGTATAATATCTTGTATAATTATTTCATAGCTTTATTTTTATTAAAACTGAACAAAAATATATTTTCATTGATACATGTTTTTTTTTATTTATTAATATTTTAAATATCAAGATACATGAATTTAATTCAAGATCAAAGTTGTTTGGTACACATTAATTAAGCACTGAAAAAAATAAAAATATTTTATTTAATATTTCTCTCACATGGCCTATTGTATTTTCATCCCATAAATTTTTCTTCAAAACAAAAGTAGCTATATATTGTTTTATTTTCTACTGTGTATACGTTTATAAACACGATTAATTTTGTTTCACTAAAAACCTAGAATAATGGAGTAACGACAGAGGAAGATAATTGAATTACTTAATTAATTGGATAAATTTTAAAAATCATATGTTATGTATATTATATAGATAACAGATAAGTATTCTGTTTAAAAATTGAAAAAATTACTTTTAATATGAAATAAATGTAAACAAAGTTATTTCTAATGGCTAAGAATGCTTGCTGGTTGAATCATTATTCTATTTCCATCTTTTGCCAAAAGAGGAGCGACCTGTTTCAAAAAACATTCCAATGATGGTTGCCAAGTTTTATTTTTGAACTGACTTTTCTCTGACCCAGCGGCCCTTACTATATTAGAAACAGAGTTTTTTATTAATGCAACATTTTTTCAGATAATTAAGTCAATTTTATTATTTACATAATTTAGTATTTTTTATTTATATTTGTTTTTTATTTCTCAATTATTAAAATTTTTTTATATCAACATAATCTAATAACTTTAACGCTTTATTAAAAGCTGACATTCTTTCCAAAGTTAGAGGTGAGAATGCTGTCTCATATTAAAAATCATATAAATGAAAACAAACCAAAATATTGTTTTTAAAAAGAAGGTAATTAAAAATTTCAATTTTTCTATGAATAAATAGTTTATTTATTTTGGAAAAAAAATTCAATCATGAATTCTTTAAAACATTTAATTGTGTTGGCATTTTAATTCATGTTAAGAAAGAATTCGTGTAATCGCTACCATATTCAACTCACCATATTGATATAAACTGGAGGCTCTGACAGAATGCTATAAATAATACTGCTCATTTAAATCTATTCAGAATTGGGCAAGTTATTGGATAGACCTGAATAATCAGTCATTCACTTGTTACTAAACATCTTATTCTGTTTCAGAAATACCCAATGGCATTTTAATGACAAACTAATCACTAGTGTAGTTGACTGTTATGGTTTAAAATAATTAATGTTGTGGATCGGTCCTTATTTAAAATGAAAACATTCTAGCTTGATTGTTGAAATAAATAAAATTTAAGCTTGTTTTATTTTTAGTTGGCCATACCGTTCCCTATATTGAAATCCATTAGATTAATTTTTGCTTGATTATAGTATATTTGGCTTTATCTTTACTCAGTTATAAGCCAATCAATTCTACTCCTTCATAACTGACTATGTTTTTCTTTGTCCACTTAATTATTATAACTTTCTAAAAATCTAAATCGAACTTCAAGATAAGATGTTTCCCCATTTTTTACTTATGAGGTTTACAGAAATTTCATTTATCAATATTATTTATTTAGATCTTATTGTGCATGTTCCTATCAGTGTTACTTCATTATGAATCGTCAGATTGCTTGTTGTCTTATTTAAACTGTTTGCGTCCATTGAATCATTCTAAACATCTTTAAAAAACAAAACAAAACCGCATTTAATTTTTATTTATCTTCTATTGAATTTCTTGCCTTTTGATCAAATCACCTAGTTTTCCAACTATCCACCAAAGCATCAAATTGTATTGCTCAGAATCTGGTTGCTTACATATATTGTAATTTTTATAGTTAGGCATTTCTAAAGTGATAGACCTTTTTGAGCTATAGTATTTAAAAAAAAGTTAATAAAACCTCTACTTTTAAACTTGTAGGTACTAAGGATAATCTCATGGGTTTATCAAAGTAGTTAAGCCGAATTAAAATCACTTATTACAATTTTTTTTTAATAAAACTTCTCATATCAAATTATTCCTGTATCGATATGGCTAGTCTCTCCATTGACTCAAATCGCGAAAAAATTACTCCTATATAATGTTAGTTATAATTAGTGTTTCCATCAATTACATCAATCAAATTACTACATTTTTTAGTAGAAATAATACATAATATCATTACCAAAGGACAGTTTCGTTACGTTAATGGAATTTTAATATTTAAAACATTATATTTCTTTTTTTTTAATCTAGAAAAAAAAAGAAAGTTGATATTGAAACCTGAAAGTCTTGATAATGCCCTTAAAAATATAGTAGTAAAAATTAAATAATTTTAGGAATTTAATTACAGTAAAGTGTTTCAGTAATGACAAATAAAAAGGTATGTAGCCACGTTCCACTTATGATCTCAACAAGTGATTTAACTGTTTAGTATTTTTTGGAGTTTTATTCTCATTCTCCATGTCACCTAACTCTTATTTAATTAAAATTTAAAATTTTTTTAATTTTTTTCCTATTTCGATACGGTAACAACTGTGCAAATCAGAGAGTATGAAGTATAACTAGCTGTTGATTGATAGTTCACATTTTGCGGAGTTAAAAGTTGTCTCCATTTACTTAAAAATTAAGGGGATATTAACTAAATGCCTTACATAACAAATATTAATTAACTTCTTTTCAAATACAAAAAAATAGTGGAATCTTTTTAATAACACTGTGGCCAAAAGTATTAAAATATTTTATTTTAACTTAACTATTTATGCAATATATAGTAAAGAAAAGTATTCCAATCATAAACCATTTTGAACCTGTGTTTTCAATAAAAGGTAGTGGGTGAGCACTGACATCCAGATCTCAACGTCCCAGGTTCGAATCTGGCTGATGACTGGTAATTTTTCTTTAGCCGGGAATCAACCATGGGGTCGGGGGATCCTCCTGAAGCACACCTAACCTTTTTAAAGTGGATACTCTTAATTAAATAATTAAAGGGGAAAATCTAGCGGTTCAGCATGATATCGGCCTAACCACCTCCCTGCAACAACCATTGGCATTGTAATAGTGCTTCCTCACATAGTACTGAACCAAATAACCCCCATAAAATGGTCTGTATTTGTGTAATAAAATTAAATATTTAAGGTAGGTATTGGATATTAGAGCAACATTTTTTTTTCTAATTGTCATTTTACATGTAAAGAATTTTCATTTTCAAGTGCTTAAGATGATAACTATAAATTTAATACATAATTCACAAGTTTCACAAAGTCTGCTTCAGGAGTCTCCAAACATTTTGGCGCGTGAGCCACATTGAGACCTCCACAAAGTTTTGAAGACTGCATTGAGCCTCCACCTAATAAGTCCCGCGGGTCATGGCTTTTGATGAAAAATAATATCTTGTTCTATAAATGGCACTTCAGCTGTGAAATTAGCTTTCTTAGAGAAAAAAAATCCACGAAATAAATGTTGTAGTATCCTCGTTTGTGAGTAATTTGCTAAATTTAATTTTTTTAAATAGTTTTTAAAATTGTATTATATAATCCTAGAAACTTTTGCGGGATATCCGGAAGTGCCTGTGGGTGGTAGTTTGAAGACCCACAGCCCACTTCATTGAAATAAAAAATGATTCAATATAAATTTTTTGTTTGTTTTCAATTTATGTTTATTTTTTATTAAAAAATCGTTTGAAATTAAAAACAGCGATAAAGTTAAAAATGAATAACAGAATGAGAAAACTGACATTTTGATGTGATAAATGTGTGCATTTATATTATAACCGTTTAAATAGAAATAATAATGTGGGTCTTAAGAATTCATAAGGTTTGACGCCATTCTCATAAATTATTCACCATAGTACTTTCCTTCATTGGATCCTGTAAAAATCAAAATTTATTTAGTTACTTTCGAGAAGAAAGGGGAAAAAATTCTTAATGAAAAAATAGCTGCAACCCATGAAAAATCTTGGGTTAAATTCATTTTATGCAAGGAAGTATTATTTCTAGGTCGATGGCTTTATATGAATTTGATTTGGCTGGTAACAGACTCAACCACCAGAGTTTTCTCCAAATTAAGGGTGTCCACTTTATCAAGGTTGGATATGCCCAAAGGAATTCTCCCGAGCGCAGGGTCTATCTGTAGCTACTATAACAGAATAAATAAATATTTACCAATGATGAACCAGGACATGAAGTGTAGTCTATCATTTACAGAACTACCCTTCTCTGAAGAAAATGTTAGTAATAATAATAATTATTCATCTAAAATAAAATGATTTCATGAAATAAAAAGGAAATTTATATCAAAGATTCATTTATTAACTTCAAAAACTAACTCAAAAATTGAGGTTAAAAATGTAAAACATATTGATATAATTTTTAAGGTGGAGGATGGATCATTTGTAAGTGTTATATTTATTATATTCAGAAGAATGAAAGTAATAAAATAAGTAAAATTTGACAATACCTAGGATTCAATGGAAAATATAACTGAATATATTGTTAGTTTATTGGAAAAAGGACATTGTGTAACATTTTATAATCCAATAATTTGATACATTTTTCCTCTGAGAAATGAAATCATTGTGCTTGTACTTAATATAACTCATTTCAATATATTGAAGCACTTGATAGGTTTTTGCTTCAATAAATATGATAGAAATTTACAAATGTTTTGTACTTAAAAGTTTAGCTTCTTAAAAAGTATACTTAATACAATTTTCCTCATGTTACACCCCATTGCTGCTTAAATAAAAGGCTTATACATTGGACCTATATTGCATACGGCTGATAATATTATTTGGACTCAGGGGATCTCAAAACGTGTATTTACGTTGAAAACTCAGATTCGAAAATGTTCACGATCGCAAAACTTTCTCTTACTATATAATACATATATATAGGTAAGTGAAAGTAAAAA